TCCTAAAGAGACTTTGCTAAGGTCTGCAGCTGTAAATTCAGTTATTATGTCCCAGCAGTTGGAAATCTATCCACTGGGTTAGCAAAGACCAAAAGGCCTGATCCTGCAGCGCCTTACTTCTGATAATAATCCTAGCTCATGCGGTGTCATCCATTGATATAATTTGTTCTATAAAAATTGCTGGTTATTAGATGTGTGTATTCAGGACCAGTCTAATTTTCTCTCAAGGTTTTGAAGGTAATTTTTGTCATTTGCATGAATAAAGTAAGAATCTGGAAAACATAGAAATCTAAAATTCAAATGGAAATCACTTATGTAAAATAAATTATAAAATCTAGGTGCCTTTGCATGTGAATGATAGATAACCTTAGGGCTGCGTTTTCTCCAATGCACTGCTTCAAAGTCTGATGCATTTATAATGGCAGCGTGTTAAGTTTAAATTAAAAATTGTCAAAATTCAGAGTCTACTTGAGAGAGGAGAGAGATGTGAGTGAGGATGACCCTCCAGAATGACTTGGTCCTTAAGTCGCAGCAACCGTGGCTTCAAACCCTCCATGGGAGTGGGCTTGCGGGGATCGACACAGCACTGTTTTCAGAAAGCTTTGATTTCCACTGGCGATACTTGGTTCAATCCCCATTCTCATTCATGTCAAGCTAGAGCATCTCTCACTAAATCTGCATCTTAATTTCTTAATTTGATCTCAGGTTTGGAAACTACAGGCTTCACCAGCCAGCTGTAAAAGGCATGCATGAATTATTAGACTCCCATTGTCGGTTGAATCTTACCCTTCGTATTTTAAGTCAGCCATTTGCATTCATCTAAAATGCTTTCAGAGAGTTTATCAGAAGAAGTGAAATAAGAAATGAAATAGTTTCATGTAAACTGCATTTTTATGTTTGACTGGTAAAACCACAAAGCAGAGATAAAATACATAAAACTAAGGCTCTGCATAATAAGCGTATCTATTAGTTTCCCTTATCTTTATAAAGCTCCCATTTGTCATGAGAAGCATTGTGTGTCACTCATCTTGCCTTGTTCTACAAAAGCTCCTTTCTCCAGTTCCTTTTATCTCCTGTCAGCATTTGCAAGGTAGGAAACTTTGCTGGTGTGGTGCTGCAGAAGACCCCCTTGACTAAATATTCGCTTAACTTTCAACCCCTTAATAACAGAAGGAAATAAAAATTAATACCTGTTACGGGCACTCTGCTGGCTGCAGCTTTTTTTGCCACCGCAGCAGCCCAGGATTAGGGGAAAACGTTGGGTGAAGCCGTGCCCGGGGTAAGCCACCTGCACCCCAGGCCAGGTCCGCACGAGTGTAGCCCACGGAACACGACGTCGGGGACGGTGCTGGCCGAAGCCGCCCTCTGCTCTCGGGAACAATCTCCCGCGACACCACGGGGACCCTGCGCCCAACCGCCCGAAACACCCGTGTCAGGAGCGGCGGCTCGGGGGCTGCTGAAGGACTCCAGAGGTAGATTTTGGCCGGGATCTGGTTGTTCCCGCGGAAGCACAAGCCCATCGAATGCGGTTACCCGGCTCCAGCGCAAGAGGAGGTGGCCGCGGCGCGGGCTGTGGGTCCGGCTCCAGAGGAGCTGAGCAAACCCTTCTTCTCTTGCTGTGCACCTTCTTCGCCTGTTCTTCTCTTTTTGGAAAGAAACGTTAGTATTGCGTATCCAACTCGTTGGGTGCTCCAAAATTCAGGAAATGCCATGCGTAGGTAACAAACACTTCTCCCGAGGACCCATTTGAAAACCTCTTGCTACATCGTGCTTTTAAAAGTAGCTCTTACTCAAAATGCATCTTTCCTTCTGCTTTTCTAGGATTTTGAGTCGCTGTCACACACAGTGTGTCTAAGACATATGTGTTATGAGCGTGGTGATATAAAGTTATTTTGCTTAACTGACAAGTTTATCAAAATTCCTATGGGGAGCTGTTGTTTTCCGTGCCAAAGAAGCAGTGGGATTTGGGTAGAGAAAATCTGTAATCAAACATAAATATGCTATTTCTATAGATGGAGCATAGACGACTAATGGTGTGTGTCAGGCTACACTAGTGTGCTGTTACCTTTTGGTTTTTTCTTTTTTTTTTTTTTTTTTTTTTTAATTTTCCATCCTGTGGTCCAAATTCCTGCTTTCTGTATAAAGGTTTTTTATATTCTCTAGGAAAGTGAATCAAGAATTAGTTGCAAAACATTACCGTGCATTTTCCACCATATGGCTACTTGAACAGATTTTCTGTGAACTCAAGTCGTTTGAGATAACTACTGATCAAAACACCGCCTTGAAGTACCGATACATCTTCTGTGTTTCTGACAGAGCTCTTCACTGACATAGATCTTTCTAACCTTGTAGCAATGTAGATCTCACTCAGTAATACTGCTTAGGAGGTATTCAGGGCCTGTCAGGTTTAGTTACATATCTTGTATATAGAAACAGAGATAATTCTTATTAAAATCATGCTACAGAGCTGCATCCATTTCAGACTAAACGAAAAGGACTGCAGCCATTATTTAAGCGAGCTTTCTTCCCAAGAATCAGCAGAGAGCTGTGTGGTCTGAATACAGAGCTGGAGATCAGGCAGACCCTCGGCATAACGCGATTTGTCAGGTACGCCGGCCGCAGCAGCTTCCTGCCCTTTAGAGCTGTTGGTACCTGCAGCTCCTACAGCAATTGCAGGAGCTCTTTATAAAATAGAAATAATAATCGTTTTACTTAGCAAGGATAAAAGCCAGTTGTAAGTTACAAGCACTTCGAAGATAAGGAGGGTATCTTCCTGTTTACCCTTCAGCCCTTAAATGTTATATTTAATACATTTAATTTCAAATTTTCAAAGAGCTATTAAATATATTTAATAAATATTTAAGTCTGTGTTGTTTATATCAATGCAATGCACTTGACCCTAATTGAGTACCAGCTGATTTATGTGAACATAGCTGAAAGGAGGATCAGCTCCAAGGGAAGCAAATGCATTGCAAGCTGTCTTCTCTTTTAACTGTTCTTTTAAGATAAATAGACACAGCGCTTATGTACATAGAAATAAAAGTATAGAGTATATATCTGTAGTGTAACAATGTTCAACTGCAAGGTACAAGGTGAGGAATAACCAGCCGGGCAGTAACTCTACAGCAAAGAGCAGCGGGCAACACCACTACCCGACTGCGAAAAATAAACATCGTGTTTCACAGCAGTGCGAGAAAATAAATTCAGAAAATAATCCCCCAGCGAGGAGGCTTCAGCGGAGCACCACCCTCGGTTTGGAGCACCGTGTTGGAAGCAGCCGCTTGACGGCAATATCCAGGTTAGGTGGAGACAGAAGGGCCTGAGGTCTTCCCAGTGGCTGAAGTTGGGAGAAATTACCCTGTTATCTGTCAAAGACCGAGGGGCAACGTGCTACCGTGCTGGTCTTTAAAGGTTCTCCAAAAGACAGTAACTATTTCGATATGTAGAAGGCGGTAGCAGAGGGCATGGTGGCTACCTGCTCCCCGTGCCACCGGGAGAGGACAATTAGCAGCTTCGTTCAGGTACAGACTGAACGAACGCGTTGGAGACCTCAGCACTTTGCAAGAGTTTGGTTAGGAGGCTGCGGAACCTTCATCGGAGGGTGCTGTGAGGACATGGGTAGACAGGGTCACCTGTCAGCAGTGCTGCTGGGGTGGGGTGGCTTCTTCTCGGGCAGGGGATTAGGTGAGGTGACCCCTTGGGCTCCCTCCCAGCCTCGAATGGTGCAGCTTGGCCCGGGGTGTCTTTTCACCAGAGGAGATGGGCTATGTGCCTGTGTCCTGACTTCGACTAAATTTCTGACAACAGCGGTGTCCTTCCCTTCTGATGATGAGTGAACAGAAACTGAGGAAGCACTTCAGTTTCTGCTTGTCGACCTCTGTATGGAGGCACATCCATGCACGGCACATTTTTTATTTTTTTCTGTAAGGCATTTTATTGCTTCCATGGTGCTCTTAATCACCGTAATAGCAACTGTTATTGTAGGTATGACTAGCAAGTCTGGAGACATTCATATTTTTCTAAATATGGGAATTTGGAAATACCTGGGTAGAGTCAGCATTTTACTCTGCCATTATATTTATTCATGGAGTTTTTCCATCAGAAATTCAGATTGATTAGCACTGAATAGGAAGAGCAGAGGAAATAATGCTCTGAAGAAATCACCCTCAACGTGTAATGAGTTTCCCATCTATATGGGTTTACTGTATATTTAAGTTTTGAAGAAGACCCACAGAGACTTTGCTCCCTCTTCAGCTCCCTCACACCTGTATTGTGCTGTCTCTGTGCCTTTTAACTGTGTAATCCTCTTAAGTCACAAGAATTGTTCTCATTTATCTATTGTGTCTTCTGAAAAGATAATAAGAAAAAGAAAGGAAAAAAAAAAGGCTTTTCTGCCCCGTACTTTGAATTCTTGTGGTTTCTTTGAATACTCATCTCACGGCAGCACCTGTTCCCTGACTTGCATATATACTATTTTTTCATAATAAGCATAGCTCAATGTCGTGAGCACACAAACCGTTGTGTATTCTCTGCAAAATTATTTCAATGAATTGTAGAGAATTAAAGTGTAGTAAAACCAAAGAAATCCCAACTTCTTCAAATTTTTTGTAAAAGTAAGACTTTTTTACTAACCTGTATGATTATAGTTCCTCTTCTATAACTTACAGTAGCCCTAAATTTAAACTTATACCAGCATTATTTCAATCCAAATCTGATCTTCACTCTTTAAATAAACAAACGGAAGCTATACCATAAGCATAGAGCAGAAATTGTATTGTTAAGGGTAATGAACGTTTCTAGCACTGAGGCTCTTGCTGGATCAGGTAGCTGACGTGTGTTGGACCTCACAGTGGTTTGCAGTGCAAAGGTCTCAGCCCACGTATCTTCGGTTGCAAACTCATTAAAAATTGCTTTTAAATGGTTACTTAACGTTTGAAATACTTCAGCCTTCTTCCCAGTCATCTTATTTGTAATAGTGTCTCATGTGTTGTGTCTCCTAGCTCTACATACAAACTACCACGCTTACAATATCCATGAACTTAAGTGCTTCAGTGGCCCTGGGGATGCTTTACATGCCGAAGGTGTACATCATCATCTTCCACCCTGAGCTAAACGTCCAGAAACGGAAACGCAGCTTCAAGGCTGTGGTCACAGCAGCAACCATGTCGTCACGGCTCTCGCACAAACCCAGCGACAGGCCCAACGGCGAAGCCAAAACGGAGCTGTGTGAGAACGTGGACCCAAACAGTAAGTACAGCTGATCTGTTCGTTGGCTGCCGGGGGGTTGGGAGGCATTGGCCAATATTTGAGGGTTAGGGTCTTCGTACTATTTGGTCCTCTCAGCTAAAGATTTTTGATGTCTCACATATATATATATATATATATATATTTATATTTATTTATTTATTTATTTAAAATTCTCTATTTCCTCCTCGCTTTTTTTGAGTTGCGCCAGTTGGCAGCAACCCCTCACAAAATGTTTAAAGTTGTGAGTAACTCCTCCTCCTTACCCTCCTCTGCGAGTGAGAGATCAGCAGCACGCTTGAGTTCTGGATCCTTCAGTCTGTGTCAAACTCAAACCTTCCTAACCCTGGCAGGTACAGTTTCCAGGATGGATGGAAGGTCAAATACCGAACTCATTGATAACTCTGCTAACCTGAGTTATAATTTTGTTTCTTGCAAAGATGTTTTGCAAAAATCTCACAATCCTTGAGGATTCCCATTTAAGGATTTTATCCGGTCCTAATGCAAATCTTGCCACGGATTTAAAAGGAAAATAGATCGAAATAATGCTTCCAGTTTCCTTAATGTGCATAGCATGGTATATTGTAGCATAAAATTACATACTGAGGCCATCAAATTTGATTTGCATTTGAATCTGGAAGGAGTTGAGGAAGGAGACAGCTGCACAACTTTGTAGCATATTGGAAAGGTTTAGGCATGTCTGCAGTTTTTATGAAAAACAGATCTGAATGTGGGGAAATGCCCTTTCCTTGCCCATGATCCGTTCATCCATTTGCTGCTGAAATCCCTGCCACTTCTTGTCTATTAACTGCCGTCTGAATATCTGCCTCAAAGCAGAAACTCTGCTGTCAAAGCAAAGTGGAAACAGCCAGCAAATTATTGACACAGCACTTTTCCTCCCTTTATTCACCCCCTGAGTATTTTTCTCTGGTGTCTTATCATGCAGGTATACAAAATATAACTGAAAAAACAAAATTTGTCTTTGGAAACTGAACTGTCTGAACTATGATTCTGACATAAGACAGTAAGGAAATGCTTCTCATAAATTAAGGACCGTATTATGCCTCCTCCAGTCATACTGAACAGAGCCCTCCCTGCAAGAGGAAATAAATGTATTTTCTGCATTGGGGTATTACCCAGCGAGAGTTTCAGAGTCCTCTGCCAAGTCCAGTCACTGATGACAGAGCCCACGGAGAGGGATCCCCTTTTTTATCTCCAGTGCTGTGGTGCTGCTGCTCCCAGGGGCTCGGGGGGGTTTGCTGCCTGGGCGGCTGCCTTGGAAAAGGCCTTTGGGGATGGAGGGCGGGAAGGAAGAAGGAGGGAAGGGGCACTTGAAAGACAGCTGGGAAAGGGCAGGTGAGTGTGTGTTGCTGAACTGCATTTCACTAATTGGTGTTCTGGTCAAATGAGTTGGGATTAGTTTCTCCCCCAGAAAAATCAAAATCTACAAATTCCCACTCAAAGACTTGAACAACGAGAAAAATGTACAAGTTCTGGCGGTGAAATGTTCAGTGTAGAAGCAGAGGTAGACCCCTGCGGGAGTGACAGCCTGGGGGGTTCCCTCTCTGGGTTTCCCCCTCCTGGTCTCATTCTCCTGTGCTGCGTCTTCTTGCTGTTTTCAGACTTCTGAGAGTATTTCCCCCCTGCCAAATAACAGTCAGATCTTTCCCTGGGAAGGAGATATGTTTATTGAATAGAAATATTGCTCACTTAAATCCCCATATTTCTGATAAACACAACATTTGTTCAGCCAGGACTATATAGTAAAATATGTTTTGAAGAGGCAGAAGTAGTAAGGGACAAAATCCCCTTGTTTGCTGAGATCTACCAGCTTCTGCCTCAGACATCCAGGCTCCAGGCCCGGTTTTGTTAACACTGATTTAATGCTGGGGTAAAGTGCACTGGGGGCGAGACCCTCACCACTTCAGAAGGCCTGTGCGTGAAGGGAGAATGCCTTCTGTGAACTCCTTTGCTTACATCTAGGATTCTAAAGCACAGAAATTTGTTTGTTCAGCCTAGCCAGGCAGGAGATGTGCAGGAGTACTAATTTATATGTCTTTCTCTGAGTACTGAGCTTTTAAATTTTTTATGGTTTGGAAAAGAAATTTTCTTTTAAATCTTTTAATTATTTATCTATATAGTACCATCTGTTCATATTATCAGCTGCACCTACTAATACTAGTTCATTCCCTGGGTATGTGTGTTAATAAAAATTATTAGAAAATCAAATGAAATAAACTACTGCTGTACTTATAGTATTTGGGTACATTTAGTCCCAGCGTAGGCTACTACTACAGTTAATAGGAGCTTTCCTATAGCATTCATTAGGTTGTCCATCAGCCCCCTAATCAGACATCAAACAGCATGTATGTCTGTACAAGTAATTCATTGAATACCTGAATTGTGTTTCTTTTTTTTTTAAAAAAAAGAAAAATCTAGTATTTTGTTAAAAAAAAAGCCTACAGTCCCATTTTCAGGTGGAAAAATTTAAAACCTTATTAACGTGCTCAAAAAGAGCTATGTTGTCCAAGCAAAACTCCCAAACTTCTTTTTCAGTGAAATTCTGAATATGGTGTCCATAAATAAATAAGCTTTTGATGTTTTCACAGCAATTTAACTTCAAAAAATATTTTATTCAGCAGATGGGGAAATTTTCAGAATTTTACCAATTGGAAAGAGGAGATGTGAATAAAAAATTGCCCCAGATGCTTTCACCGGCGCTATTTTTTAAAGTCTCCAATATCTTCCTCCAAAAGAAAGTAAAAAGAATGTATTTTCAGTACCTGTCTTTTGAAACTTGGTGTTGACCCCCCCGACAGCAGCCGGCACAGTCCTGGTTGTGACCTGCTGCTCCGAGGAGCCTGGGGACAGGCAGTTCTGGCTGGGAGCCCTGCGACAGCTCCTCTGGAACCCCCCGTGTCAGGCTGAGAGTAAATTAATTGAAGGGGATTAAAAGATCAGTCTGAGACTCATCAGCACTGTGCAAAGCTAACATAGAAGCCAACTGGGCTGAGCTAGCAAGTGTTTTCTCACAAGTGGAAAAGTACAGTTGGGTTTTCCAGTTTGATTTTCTATTCTATTTCCTGGTGATTCTGTTGTTATGGCTTGCTCAGGTACTGGAGACTGGACTTGTCATTTCTATTGAAAATACACAAATATTTCATATCTCCTAAGAACCAGTTAACACTGAGCCACCAGCATGAGATTCATGTACCTCCAAACATTGGGGAATTTGGTGACTAAGCCCAGATTTATGGCCTGTCTACTTATATACACAAGAGCAAGATGTGGATGGTTTTACAGAAAAATAGCCTTGAAAAAAACCTGTGTGATTTAGTAGACCTTTAAAGGAATACCTAATGAACTGAAGATGTGCATGTAAAACTGGAAGGCCTATAAATTATCTGAGTGGCTTCCTAAGAGCAGGTGGTCCTCAGCAGCGGTGCTGAGCATCGTGTGGAAACGCTGCACACAACTCTCAGGTGAGCTGCAGGAATCTGAGCTCGGAAAAAAAAAAATGTGCAGAGCACTTAGGAGAGCTGGGCTCAAGCACTGGCGTTTTAGTGTGAGTATAATAAAAAAAAAAAAAAAAAGAAACTGCATTAACGTGGAAGGAAAATCACTTGAAATGCAGTGACCTTGTATCCCACCCATCAGGAGGAATAAGGACTCACTGTGTTGCAGCTTCCTGTTAGGATATATGGGCAGCAAGAAGTTTCACAAACTGAGCTCCCCAGCCATGACCTGGGAGGGATTTCTTGCTGAATGGGGTATATTAAGGCCAAGCTTTTCAACCTAAAACCGCGTTACTTATGAAAACTCTCTTAATCCTTCCAGTTTGCCATCTGGCATGTGCACGCTTTTGCCCATTCCACAGCTTTTTCCTGCTAATACATGCTTGTGGCAGATTTGGATGAGCAGAATGGTACACAGCAGCTTCCATCCATGTAACGAGTTCATTCTGCTCTCGGGTGTCTTTGGTCGACTTTCACACTATTTGAGAAGACGCTTCTCACCAAGGCTGAAGTTGAACAGATAGTGAGTGCTTCTGCTCGTGTTTCTGCTGCAAGAGCAGAGTGTCAGACTATTTGAACCTCTCCATACTTCACTTATATGGAAATTTACATGTAATTACTCCTTTTCCCTAGCAACCTGTATTAATTCATGGTTTTACCAAACAGAGCGACGGAGAAATCAGCATCTTGGTTGTTTAGCAGTGAGGAGGTTGTGCTTCTCGTAAGCTGGACCGGCAGACCTCACTGGAAGGGCCTTTGCTTTCCCACCTTTCCCTCTTGAAGCAGCCATGAGAAGGAAGCCGAGCTGCCCGGTGCCTCCTGGGATCAGCTCTTCTGGGAAGATGCTTTCTTGCAGGAATGGGGATGGGATCTTTTGGGACCTGGCAGCACAGGGAGTGTTGATCTTCCAGTGTCCCCATTTCCAGTCTCATGGGAAAGACCTCACCGTCAATGAGAACGGCTCTGAGATCAAGATGAGTAGTGCAGAGCATCCCAGGAGTAAATAGCAGCGCGCAGGGGGTGTGCAGCTTCTCTGCGGCAAAGAGCGGGGGCATCGAAGTGACAAACAAATGCTGGGAAGGTGGAGCAGATCACGGGAGGAGACAGCTTCCCCCGAGGAGCTGAGATTTGTTGAGAAGTGGCAAAGGAAAGCTGTCACCACGAACTAGCCAGAAAACCTTAAGGTCTAAAAACCTGTAACTTTCAGTCTAATTTTCAGTAGTGTTGCAATTTTGTGGACTTTTAAGTTAGAAGGTGCCTTGAGGGCTGTCGTGGTTTAGGCCTGATTGGCAGCCAACCACAATGCAGCACCTCTCTCTCCCTTCCCCTCCGGCAATGAGAAGGGACAGAGAGCCAGGCTTGGGGTTCAAGATAGGACTGGGATGGGGAAAAATCCCCCTTTATGATCACGAGCAAAAGGCAGACTCGTTAGGGGAAGAAAAAAAGAACATACATTTATTACAGACACTAACAACACATAACAGAGTAGGACAGTGAGAAGCATTGCCACATCTTGAGAACACCTTCCTCCCACCCCTCCCTTCTTCCCGGGCTCAGCTCTGCTCCCGATATCTCTACCTCCTCCCCCAGTGGCGCAGGGGCAGGGTATGGGGGGTGCAGGCAGTGCTGTTGCTTCTGCCATTTTCGGTGGGGGGAGCTTCTGGAATTTGTTCCCCCTGCTCCAGCGTGGTCCCCCTCTCACTGGAGACAGTCCTCCACAAACTTTCTCTGACATGAATTCCTCCCACGGGCTGCAGCGTTCCCCACACTGCTCCGTCATGGGTCACTAACTTCCTCCGACTGGATTCTCTCCCACGGCTGCAGCCCTTCCCGAGCTGCTCCGGCGTGGGACACCCCCGCATGCTGCAATCCTCCCAGCCCTGAATTACAGCAGCAGGGCTGCCTTTTCCCATGAGACCCCAGCCTTCTTCGGGCACAGCACCTTGATCAGCTGAGCAGGAACAACAGGCCATAAATCAATGTCTGCTCCACCGTAGATCTCCATGGGTGGCAGGGGGGGCCGCCCTGGCGTCTCCCCACAGGATACAGGGGGGTCTCTGCTCCGGCACACCTCCCCCCTCCTTTCTTCCTCCGTTCCCCCACTGACCTTGGTGTTCATGCAGCTGCAGCAACTCCTCCTCACCAGTCCCACTGCCCGTCACCACGTCCCTTCTTAAATACGTTATCGCAGAGGCGCAGCCGATTGGCTCAATTTCCCAAACAGAAGTGGAGCTGACTTGGAGCTGGGGGAGCTTCGAGAAGCTTCTCACAGGGGGCGGCCCCAATAGCCACCCCCCGCCACCAAAAAACTCCACCTCTCACTCAACCCAGGACAAGGGCTCAGCAGCTGTACAGACATATTCATGCAGACCCCACTGTGCAAATGCTCCCGTGCTGGGCCCTGGCATGTTTATGTATTCATTCCTGTTCATCCTTAGCATCACTGACATGATGTTGCCTGTTCCATCTTTCTGAGGAAAAAATTAAAATGGTTATGGGTGCTGGGGAACCTGAGAGTGACTGCATAGGTGAGGAAGGATTGGGGAGTTTTAAACTTCAGTCAAAATATTGCAGCATTTGTTCAGGGGAGAGGAAGGAAAAAAAAAAAAAAAAAAAAAGGAAAAGAAAAGAAAATCAACCAGGCCTGCTGTTTTCTGAGCAGCTGCTCCCATGTTCAGAGGTACCTGAACTTCTGTGAACTGGTTCATTTATTTCTAACCCAGAGTTAATTTCATATAGTGTTGCCTCTCAGCTTTCCACTGTCGCTGCTCTAATCTGAGCTCTTCAGTTGGATTAATGTCATGGCCTCCATGACAGGGCAAAATTTGAAGAGTTTCTTGTGAACAGACGTATTATACATACCAATGTATTTACTTTTCCTGTAGACTGCATACCACCAGTAAGAAAGAGTGTTCAAAAATCTGTTACTTGGTACACTCTTCCACCTACTGTATAGCTTTTGCCTGCTTTCCAAAAAGGTAAGGAAAAATCTAGCTTCTTATTACTTTTTTCTCATATTATTATTGTGATTATTATTATATACATAAATAAATGAGGAATGTGCATTAGTGCAGCTATGTTAAAGCAAGTATCTAACTTAAAAATTGTTCACACATCCATTACTACAAGCTCCCATGGGAAGGGCTTGATTTGAGAAGGGGAGACCCAGGACTGGGGTGATTGTTTTAATCCCTGTGCAAAACAAGAGACTGGTGGTCTTCTACTTCCCACCAGTGGAGGTGGATCCCAATAAGGCCTTTGAAGACGTAGATATTCGATAACAATTTAAAAAAGGAACAAACAAATGATCAAATGTTAATTATGGTAATCTGATCTAACAACTAACAAAGTGTTTTCTGAGTCATTTCTAGCAGCTTTACCAGCAGGGTTGCCTGGCAGCATAAAAGTAACATTTGCTAACATGTGAGCAATATTCTTTACTGTAAAATTATAAATGGCTCTAAAAAATTTTGCAAAATATTTTTTTTCACTGTGGGTGATCCCAGCAACCACTCCTGTAAAACTACGAGTGAACAATTTTTGAGGGCCGGCTTTTTCTGAGTGTTGTGACTGCCTACGTGGTGATCTTGTGAGCTAGTTTTGTATTTGTGACTTCATCAGCCAGGAATTACCGCTTTTCTAGTGAAATGAGAGGAATAGGAACACATTTGATATTGGAGACAAATGGCTAACAACCACTAATAAGTATTTCTCATATCTGCAATTCCGTGTGTGTGCTCAGACAGCTTTGCCCTCTCCTCCGGGGCTTTGCCCTGGTCTGAACAGTGCTGCCCTGGTCACGGCAGTGCTGTGCAGTTGGTGCTAGAAGAAATTGCTGTGTGCAGCCTTCAGAATGTTTAGCTGATCCCTAATAGGTGAGAACTTCTATCAGCAAAGGTAGCAATGTTGCTTGAATTGAGTCTCTGAGTCACAGGGAAAAAAATACTAATATCTGTAGCTGGTGTAAATTGCCACAGCTCCAGTTTCAATTCAGCTCGAGTTCTTGTGAAGTGTTCAAATTACTTTTTATTGTATTTGAATCATGCCCGTTATTCTAACTTACACAGCTCAGGCAGAAAGCCTTATTTAAGGTGTGAAGCTCTTTATGAACATCAGGATGGCCTGCCTCACCCGAGGGCCGGAGTCAGAAAGGTTGATGGTGGCTGGTGTCGAGGGAAATATAACAAAGCAGTTGGAGAGAAGAGGCCACTCAAAGTATTATTACAAATCAAATGTGAAAGGGTAAAGAGCGACTACGTGAAGATGAAATTGCTAAAGGAAGGAGATGAGAAGAACAGGAGAGATAGAAGACACCCTAAATCTCAGGATAAATCGACTTTTTTTTTTTTTGTAAGGTTTAAAAAACATTTAAAATTAAAATAATTAGGAGCTCACACAGATTTCTAAAACTTCCTTTTCCCACATAACATTATTGTGTAATGTAAGGAATTGCTATCTGCAGAAGCAGACAAATAATTTTGTCATCGGAGTCCTAGAAAAAGTGATTGGCCAGTCAGGTTTTTGAAGCAGATTTTAAAAGCTGGGACACAGCAAGCTATGACAAAAGCTACGGTCGAGGATGGTTCGGGCTTGTGATGGTCTTGCCCACATCAGTGCCCTTCTGCATCAGGTATTGTTTTCCATTTCTCACCCCAGAGTGTTTCTGTTGCAGCTGGGCTGGTTGCTGTAGCTCTGGTTGCTATGTTTTGATTCGTCCTTCCAGGAATACAAAACAAAACCCAGCAAGAAACAATATACTGTATTAAAAGCAAAGCAATGATATCAGGGAAACATCATCTTCGTTGTAAATTGACAGTTGTTTTGCTAGTAACATATTTGTATGTAGGTATGAACACAGTGCTTAAGCCGTTACTTGACTGTATCAATTTCTGCTGCGATGTGCGGAGAGATGCATTTATAATGCTTTTAAATTGCTTCCTGTGAGTGACAAATAGGAATTCCTTACTGTTGAGACTGATGAAAATACAAGGCTTGAAAAACTCTCCGCGGTATCTGGGTCAGGGAAAAAAAAATTGTCAGTCACCTGAACGCGGCGAGGAACCAGCAAATGCGCTTGTAAAGTCACATTTGGTTCCGTAGAAATACCCGCAGCGCTTTTCCCCTGGCCCATCGCCAAGCAACATGCTCCCAGGTCAGAAGGAAGAGCCCGTCCGGTGACTCAAGTGCTTGTGGCATCTGAAAGACCGGGAGGTGTCCCTGGGGCTTTGGGAGCTCCCCCCCCCCCGGCAGGGCTGGCGTGCCCCCCGTGCCCGTGTGCTCCCCTGGGTGTGAGGGGGAGACGTTCCCGCCCTGCAGATGGGATCACCTACGTCCCAGTAAGTCCCAGCAAGACCGTTCCTCCCTTCTGCTGCCTTCTGGGCTTGATGGGCAAGGACCGTAACGCGGCGCGGGCGGCAGCCCGACGCTTCGTGCCAAGGTCGGGGAAGTCTTCTTCTAAGCTGGTGCAAAGACTGTGGCTTTCCTCGGCGTGTCCCTTCAGCGCACTGGAGTGACTGAGCACTTTTCTATGTATAGAATACATACTGTTTGACCGGGATTCACTTCAGTGTAAGAAGGACAAAGGAAACCATGACATGGGTTACGTTTTTGCTCCAGGAAGGATCCGAGTGATGCCCATGAGCTTGCTGTGCTCTTAAGTCTGTCATAACATCTATAAAAGCAGTCAAGGAGAGACTAAATAGACACAGTCCCCCTGTTTTTTTGGTTGTATTACTATTACTGGACATTGTTATTTCGGTTGCTTGGTGCAACAAAATGGTCCTGATGGTCCTCCAGCACTTAAAGCTGTTCTAGCAGGAATAATGGTGAAACACTGCAACTCATCAGCAACCTTTTATCATTTGTCTGTCTTTTCTGCTGAACTTCGACTCGATCTGGGCCAGATGTTGAACATTTCTAAACCACAGTGGTCCCATTGCTTTAAAGAAGAAACATCAATCGATACTAGCTGAGGCTCTGGCCTCAGATTTTCAAACAGCAGCTCACCTTTCCACCTTAGCTGTGTGCTGCAGTGCTCATCTGCAAAGGGTTAGAAGGACACAAAGAGGAGCAGCTACCCGCTCAGCAGAAATGTTTTCTGAACTTTGTGCTGCAGCTGGCAGATCCTTGAACTTTGCTCTCCTCTTGCATTCACATTGGGGTTCCCCAAAGCCGGTCCTGCGCACTGCTTTGGGCAATGAGCAGATCTCCAGTACTAACTGAATTCATTTGGAAATGCCAATCGTTGCACCTCTCTGCAAGGGCAGAGCTGGGAGGATTGACTTTTATACAGAGCAGGCAAATACCACCACTCAGGCTGTTAAACAATTATGGTTGCATTAGGAGTGCGGGTAGCTCAGCCACAGTCCAAGGCGGGGGCTCTCCTCCCAGGGCTTGGGCACACTGTGCTGCTTCCAAAAGGTTTTCAGTTGCTTTGCAAGTCATGTTTTTTGCTTGATCTGTATGCAGAGGCATTTCCGTGGTGACTGCAAAGCGATCAGATCATTGATAAGGTCTGTGCAGCACCATGTTGAGTGAAGTCATTATGTTTCTTGGTCATATCTCTCCTAGAATATGTATCTGCAATTGCTTAGATTATGCAATAACGAAGCTGTTGTGGTATGTCGTGATACGGTTTCCAACTGATCTCGGGCTCATGTTGAAAGATGTAAATAGTTTAAGTTACCTTCTAGTACTGAGGATTTTCTGTGCCTGCCCTGCTCCTGTGTGCAGTCTCAGTTAGACCAGGGGACCCCCGGGGCCACCTACACCATCCAGCAGCAGCATCTCTGGGGACCTGGCAGCTCTTTGAAAGCTTTGGGTCCAAACTATGTGACGTTATGCAGCTCATCACGTCTTAGAACATGTGATATAGAATAATTGTTTTCTAGATTGAAGCGTCATTTTCATTTTAAATCTGGCTAGTTTCATCCTGAAAAAGTGCTCCGTGTTTAAGCTCACTCGAAGGATTTTCTGTTCAGTGGAGACTGCTAAGAAATGAGAATTTTAAATTGATAAGCAAAAGACTTTGACAGGTCTTCACTGCATCTATTTATTCTAGAACAGCTTACTGAAAAACTAAACATTTCTTCTAATTATAATATGCTTATTTTAAAACTGTTGCACAGAGGTACATCCAAATGAGCCCAGGCAACACCCCGAATTAGTCCCTAATATTTAGTTTCCTGTTCCCTGATTTGTAAATGATTCTATTGACAATGTAGATCCCACTTTATTTGGCTGATCGAGGGCTGGGTCATGCTGGGGGTGGCCCCTGCACCGCCCGGGCGCTCTGCGGGTGCGGAGCCCCAGATCTTGTGCCGGGAGCAGCGCTGGAGCAGTGACACGATTTGCTGTTGTGCCATGCTATGAACCATAGGTGCATTTTTTATTTTCCGTTGGCTAACGTTCAGAGGTGATTTTTTTCACCTCCCTCTTCTTGTAATCTCCACAAACTTTTTCTCATGAGCCGCTTTCCCCCTGATCCCTCCCTGCTAGGGACGCCTCTCTGAGCGCCCAGGTTCCTTCGACGTGCCGTTAGGCTCTTTGCACTCCAGTGCTTTTGCCAATTTAAGCTGGAAACTGGCATGTAAGTCTTTATTCCAGAAATCACTTATTAGGACCTATTTTCCAAGCTGTAGTCCAGTTGCATTTGATGAGGTTGAACACCTGAACAACCATTAATTTTGTACACACCAAAGGGTATCTGTAATGAGACCTGTTTTCCACAGGTACAATTTTGCAGCTTTGATATTGTCTTATTTACTTTTTAAACGAAAAGATTTATACAGATACAGCTTCTAAACAGATGAAGACATGCAGGACTAAAGTGCCTTAAGACCAATGTGCTGGAAAGAAAATACAGTTCGGTGTGCTCCGGAGGGTGATGAGTGAAACTTAAATGTGATGTTTCTGACAAGTTCTCTGGGTTTGGTGAGTTCCCTTTCCTGTGCTGTGCTCGGAGCCCTGTGCCCCGGCATGGCCGGGGGTTCAGGGCAGAGCAGTGGAGCAGCACCTCATCCCTGCAGCCGCCAGCAAGGGGCCACGGCAGCTGCTTTCTCCAGGTTTCTCCTTTAAAAAAAGGTAAAAGCAGGACTTCTGTTCCAAGAACGTAATTCCTCCTCCTCCCTCTATTTGCATTTGCACATTCAATTTGCATTTTAATTTTTACCAGTTTCTCAAGGTCTCAATATCCATTTGAATCAATGTTTTCCTTCAGGTTTTATATATCCATGACAGCATCCTGTTACCCAGCAGCCAAATTAATGCCAGAAATTATTCTCTCCCTAACCATCTTGTGAGTGATACAAGACGCTCTGCAATTATCCTTTTGGCAATGCAAGGTTAGACTCTTCTCATGACATTTCAAACTGTGAAGGGTATCCCTCACAACGGGTATATATTTTTTAAGCCATGACAGCACTTTGTACAGCTGAGAGCAGTGTATGTTGTTTAAAGGTTTCATTTAAATCCTCTCAGAAATAAGTCTTTTGCAACTGTAACTTGAATGAGACCTAAAGGTAGGTCAGAGGAAGCCAAGCCTTCATCCTTTTGACTTTGTTAAGAAGAGCTGGACTCCAGCTACTTACAAGATCTTTTTTTTCTTTTTTCTTTTTTTTTTTTTTTTTTTAAATATTATTCCATGGCCAGGAAATTTTGCTGGAAAAACTCTAAGTGGGACAGTAACAAGCCCATAGGTGCCATGAGACCCTGAGGGGTTTTCAGCTTCCAGGTGCAGCAAGGTCCCTCCCGGAGCCTGTGCCAGGTCCCCTCCATCTGAACGCTTGAGGATCGTGTTACTTTCTTTTTTACATCTCAAAATAACTACTTTTGATGATGCACTTTAATACGTTCACATAATTGCATGCTCCCATAGTAATTAATTTGCAGGCTGTCTCACACCTTTCATGACTTACATGATACAAGACTTGTAAATATGCAGAAGAGTGTTGGGCTGCTTCCTTTTTTAAAATCTGGAATTCTTTATGCGCTTAAACAGTCACCTTATAGTTTGATGTTTGAACAATGCTAGTTGTTATTATTCATGGCTATAAGTGCTTTGGATATTAAAAGCTAGGTAGCTAGATGTATGTGAGACACAAACGAGTATTAATTAGTTTATTAGTATTCATATTCCTTGTTTGTTCCATTGTTTGTCTTTTTATGTGATCTTTTTTCTTCGGAAATTCAGACGAGGGGTCAGCATATATTTTTACACCTCATGGACCAGTCCCTCTCATTTTTTTGCCTAGTAAACTCAGTAGTGCCGAGTTCCCCCTTTGACTAATTTACCAGTCGCTACATCCTCTCAGGGAGAATTTGTCAAATTCATAAACTGTAATAGCAGGGAAAAGACAAAGACTTTTGGCTCTTTTTTCTTCCGTATATTTCTAATGACTCCCTTTCTCCTGAGCAGAGTAAATGTCACCTTGACAGGACTCACTTGATGCCAGTCTCACGTGGCAGCTTGCTGTAGTCTCTTACGTGCTCTCACAGCCTCATCTGTGTTAATGAGGTGACTCAGATAAAGAGTTGTAGGATTATGAAATCAGACTTGACATTCTCAGCTTAATTTCACTGAAATCACTGGAATCGCCCCAGCCTAGGACATTGCAATATTTGGAGTCACATTTCTTTTCTCCCCTACCCAAGCAATAGGAAGCATTACATTTGCATCTTGCAGCTTTTGGGATGTGTGTTCTTTTCATTGTTACTGCTACTGTAATTATAACAACAGTGTCTCCAAGAACAGCCGTGCTCTGTAACCTCAGGTGCAAAACCTGACTCGATATAATCAGGAATCTTCCCAGCCCAGAAAAGGTTTATAAACTCAGACGTGCAACGTTGTCTGGCCGCTGAGGAGAAAAGTGTGGATAGTTTGACTGGAAGGAGCTAGAAAAGAGATTTTAGGAGAGAACAGCTAACACTTGAGATACAATATTCTGGGAAGGAAAATATTTCTAATGGGCTGTAAAGTGCAGTAATCATGCTCAGATTTGGCGCTTGGTCACCATTCCCTGGTGTCCACCAGTTCCTTCAGCTCCGTGGGACTAGGGAGGGATTTCTTCTCTTGCACACATTGGTCTGCCCAGCTCTACTCAGCAGCAGTCAGTAACACATGCCTTGAGATACACATTTTATTTTCCTGTTTGTCAAAACGAGGTATAATTTTCCCATTTTTCATTTAAAAACAAAACAAAACAAACAAAAAAAACCACCAAAAAACAAAACCAAACAAACCACAAAACCCAACTTCCTTTAAAAATTCTGTAATGAATTAAAACATGTATGAAGAAGCTCTGCTTCAGTTCCCATGCAATGGTTTTACAGCCATCAGCACTGCGCAGCTATCACATACTACAGGGAGTAAATGACAGCCAAATAAATTATTTGAAGGACATCTAACATCAGGTTTGGAAGTGAGTGGCTTACATTTGTGAAGAAATCTATATAGACAATAAGGTTAGGTGCAAAATCTGTATTAAATGAGTGACTTAAATTTTCTTCTCCTCAGGTATAAAGGAGGTTTATTCATAGCTGCCACTGAAGTAACAGGATTGAACGTACGTGGCAGTGAAACTCAGTCAACAAAAAGAACCCACCAGCAGATCTGGGGGGACGCTCCCTTTCTTCTTTTCCCTGCAGGAAAAGGGTCCGTGGCTCGCTGGGTACAAGCGGAGCCCATTCTTCTCGGATCTGGCTGGTGGGATTCCAGCTCTGTGTTAGACCTCGTGACTGCTGCTGCATTTTTACTCAGAACAAAAGATCTTCTATTTTTCTTCTTTTTTCTTTTTTTTTCCCTTTGTGTGTTTTTCTGACATTAATGGTATTTGAAATTGTTGGAGTCCAATCTTTAGTGGAACAGGTCATGAGCGAGTGGGTACAGAGTGGCAGAACCAGTGGCAATGGGTTGGCTGAAAGAGTATTTGTTCACACACCTATTGAAAATTTGGTGAGTTCAAAAAGCCAGTCATAGTAATAATGGAGTAAAAAGGCCAGGAAAACTAAAAATAAGCAGTATTCCGGGTAAACTAAGTTCTCAAAGACATGAATCCATGCAGTTTTCTCTGTGTATGATTACAAGCATGTAGAAAACCGTTTAAAGTTTCCAGCCAGAGTATTTCATTTGTATCTGCAGTCCACGGGCACGGGTGTCATAAAGTTATACAAGCCTGTTCCTGTGTGTGATTGCGTATCTTTGATGATTTCACCCAAGCCTGGATGTATTTTGTCACCTTTTGGAGAACAAACCCATAGAAAATTTCGGTGTAGCGCCCAGAAATGACAGTGCTGATGAACTGGAGGTACACGTGAGTAAAACAAGCGTGGGACACAGCTGAACATTCATTTGTCACTGATGTAAAATAATACTGTAAAATGAAATAGATATTATTTTATGTTGACACAGATAGCAAACAGAGAATATATTTGCTCAGCAGGGGCCTGGGTTGGTTTGGTTTTTTGGGGGGGCAGTAAGCAGCAGCAAATCAAAAAAATGGCACATAAGAAATTGGTCTTTCTCAGTGCTTCTCTCTTACTGCAAATGGGCAACACTTTCACACCCAGCATCTCTGGAAAACATCACAGAGTTTTTTTCTCTTTATTGGCTTCAGGAAAGGAAATGTGGGCATCTCTTTCAGTGATGTATGGTGATACAGTCCAGATGAGAGCATCCTTTTGTTAATGAAAATAGGTATTTTACCTTCGGGGTGAGTTTGTTGGTTTTGAACTCTGCCTGACAGCGAGGAACAAGGGCGTGTTTTTATTTTCTAGCCATAGTGCAAAATAACAGGAAGGGAGGTAGGTTAATGGTTAAAGGCACGTCAGTGCCAATGGAACACAATGGAAACATATAATAGGAAAGAAGAGAATTCCAGTCCCAGGGTCTGATGTTTGGCTTAGTTACTCCTCTGTAACTCAGAGCACTGAGTTCTACCTGGGAGAAGAGTCTGGCACCGCATCTAGTGAGAGGTCTGTTCTTGCTGTTCAGTGGAAAAAGAAAGAAAAAAAGATATAGTTGCTATAGTTACACCACTTGTCATGATGCTTATCGTGTCCATGGAATAAAGAGCCTTATATTAAATCTGTACTCTTATTAATATCAGCTGTTAAACATTTCCAGGATATTTGAAATCAACACTTTCTGCAAAAAAAAATTAAATGTTGATTGCAGCAAAATTGTACTGTTTAACCATGCAGGTCAGAGTGTAATTCTGTTGGACACCGTGTTACGGAATTATATCCCATGAATAAATTTTCCAGTGAATTTAGCCTTTTTTGCACTTCATGAACATTCTTGATTTTTCTGTTACTTGCAACCCTTTGTCAGCTGGTTCAAGCCGGCCAACTTGAAGAAGAGGAAGGGGGTTCCTTTCAGGTGAGGGGCGGCCCTGTCAGGGGTGCGGTGTCGCGTTTGCTCCCTACCGAAGTAATTCAGGTTTCTCAGGCGAGCGGGATGAAGGCTGTGATTGCTCTGCACATGCACGTGTCCTCTTTTCCTCACCAGTGCGAACATACCCCAAATGGCCCCCGCAAGCTAACGAACCTACACGTGCGTGCGTTCTCAGAAGCATGCGCATCTTTTTAATGCCAACAGACCTGCAGTTGAACGTGGCGTTAGTCTTCTGGTTTAAGCTGGTGTGGCAAATTGCAAAGCACTAGGGGGATGCCGTTTAAAATGTTTTTTTTACATGTGTAGCAGAGTCCAATCTGCTCTCTGACGGCCCTTGGGCAGTCACCCTTGTCTTTTGGACTTTCTCATACAAGCTTCGTCTCCTTTGGGCCAGTAAGACACAGTCATCTTCTCAGTGGTGGATCTTGCCAGAAACAGCCCGTAGCCAAACGTCCCCGTGCTTGTCCCATTTACACGGTGTTAATCGTGCCAGTAGCATCCCAGGACTGGAGCTCTACAAACCCCTCTCCAGAGGTGGAGGTAGCAGAGGACAGGTCTTGCAAGCAAAGCCAGCCAGGTCCCCTGCAGCCAACGGGCACCCCTGAAGAGCGGAGGAGCCAACCGAAGTCCCCACTGGGCTCTTGCACGTGTCACAGCAGGACGAGGTATGGTTTCCTAAGGACATGACCTGACAGAAGGTTTCTTCTGGGATTACACCCACTCAGAGACACGGAGGCAACCCAGGAAGGAGGTTTTGGTGCAGTGTAAGTACAAACCAGGAGGAGTCCTGACATGGGTTGGGCCCCAGCGCTTTGCCGAGGACACAGTCACTGCCCCGAGCACTCACAGTGTGCTTGGGTACGTGAAAAATCTCCATAAAAATCTGTACAAAATACAGCTTTGTATCCAGTGTCTATCAAGGGAAATTCATCTCTTCAGGGGAGAGGAGTCACCGAGTAAGAACCAGTTACCCACAGGCTGTTGAATTGTTTGTTCAGTCTATTCTACCGCTATGTTTTCCTGAAAAGAACAAATGGAGCAATAAACATGACACTTATTGTTATTTAAAATAAAACTACGACCTGTTTCTCTAACACAGGGAGGTTGTATTGGGTGGAAGCTTGTCACTGAAGTCCAACGATAGCTTCAGATTAACAGTCCTTTGGTGAGATGTTGTTCCTGTCCCCGTTGCCTGGTTCCCTTGTCATGCACGTCAGAAGCCGAGCTGTGGTTTGCTCAGAAATGTGACTGATGGCCTGAACGGGCAGATTATTGACTGGGAGATTGACTTGGACAAAGCCCAAATTCTGCAAAAGTTTTCTCTCTGGGTGTCATCTTGGTTTCAGTTTTCTAACGAAAAATTGTATGTGTTTCCAAATTGTGAGAAATACAAGTCCGGTTCTGACTCTGTGAGTGTCCGAGCTGTTTGGCTGAAACGGGTCAATTTGTTTGAGCCCAGGTCCTAGCAAGGCTTTTGGTTTGGCAGTGCATAGAGATACAGCCACTGCATTCAGGGCCTCTTTAGAGGGTAATGCGCTAATTTGTAGGGAAAAAAAAAAAAAATAAACCAAACTGGAAGTAAAGAGTAAATAATTGAATTGCTTGTAATTCATTAAATGAGTAAACAGAAATTACCTTGGTAATCTAACTCAGTATGAAGCCCATAACTGAATACAGTAGGGGAAAAAAGAAAGAGAAAAAAAAAAATGTTGTTCAGTCCTATGTTTCTGTTGTTTGGCAACTGCACAAAATTTTAGTTTTCTTGATTTTTTGATTAAGTGAAATGATTAATTAGAAAAACATTTTCAGTTATTTGATCGCTGAATGGATAAACTAGCTAGACATGTAGAGCTGTATTTACCGAACCTGATTACTTTGTGATTACTTTATAACCATGTATTTATTTGTATATCTGCTTGGGTCAGAACCCATGGATTTGCACGGAGAAGTGCCGGGGTGTTGCTAGGGCAGGGACTGACTGAAGGAGAATGCTGGTGAGGCAGAGTGGGGTTTTATTGTAGTGGTCCTCAGGAGCTGGAGAGGAGGAAATAAAACATCGCAGGATGCCTGGTCGAATGACAGAGAGCTGGAAAAGCCAGTGACCCCCCCTGGAAAATGTCCCTGGGCGGAGGGGAGCAGTGCCAGAACCCCCCGGCCGTAAGGGAAGGGGCTGCGGCACAAGGTGGCCGAGGACATTCGGGAGCTGGTTCAGGAGCAAAGTCAGGAGGTAGAGAGGAATCGTTTTCTTGGAGCTCTGACTTCAGGACTCCTTTGGGATGTTTTAGAAGATCACTCAGGTCATAGTTTTAATTATGTTGCACACAAACTGTTTTCACACTTGGCTTTAACAGCTCTCAACAGAGCCTGGCTTTCCAGGTGAGATAACCAAAGTACTATTAATTACTTTGTTTTAAGCAGGTAAAAATAATTTGCTACTATTTTTTATCTTTCCAGCCCACATCATTCAAACGGAAACATTTTAAATGTAGTTTAAATTAGTATGTTTTCTGTACCGTTGGCTCCAGTTAGGGACTAATATGAATTGGTTTGGTTTCTCCCCTGCCATAATCTCATAAAGATTCGGGACCACATTTCCTACCACCCTGGGTGCTTTGCCAGGTGCTTTTCCTGGCTGTTGGTGTGCAGGTTCGCACAGTGACTGCTGGCCCCCGGCACCTGGCCCCCCCTCTCCCCTTTCTGTCACCTCCTGCTCAGCTCCCTATCACCTCTGCTGCTCGGGGCAGGGGGGGGCAGGATTTCTGCTCAACCCCATCTCACCCCAAAGTGCACGAACACACCAGCCAGCTCTGCGGCTCTTCCCCGTGCCAGGTCTCCTTTAAGCCTCTCTGCAATTTTCCATTTGCTGGAAGTGTTGATAAGACTTTCTGCTGTTTATTCTTTGATCCCAGCGTTGCAGATCCCTTCAAACTTCACCCGACCCAGAAGTTTTTATCTGCAAAGCAGACAAGTAGGAGATAGGAGAAAGATGCAGCCGAACATGCTCAAGTTTGATGTTCTTCAGCGGTACAATGCTTTGTTGGTTTTAGCTTTTATTTAGAAGGGTAAAATTAATCCTTCTCTATTGCAGTCTTATTACCTGACTCAGAATCTGTGTCTTACAGTTATCTCTCTAGCAAAAACATGATGATTTTTCAGCCCACAAAGAGCACAGGCCTGGCTCTGTTCTTTGACTCAAAGTCACATCTTCTTTTAATGGTTCAGATGGGAAAATTAATATTAACAACGACCTCTGAATTTGTCTCTGAAGGCGCCTACCTTAATAATGCCTTGCAAAGCAGTCAAAGGTGTGGCTGATAAAAATTATCTTTCAGCCCATCCCTGAGGAGGCTGAAAGCAGTGTCTGTCACAGCAGGTAGTTTAGATCATCTTTCCAGCTTAACAAAAGGAGTTTATTGATGCTGACAGAGTTATCAGCATGAGCAGTTCAGAGGCAGAGAAATAAATGACATGCTTTTTGTTTGTTTACAGAGAACTATCACCTCCATTGGTAAATATTCATAAATGATGAATGCCATATCTCACCATGGCAAAGGGGGAACGTGTATCGCGTATCCCATTTGTGGCCTATTTTTAGAGCTTGTAAGAATTAACACAGGTACGTATCTTTAAAATATTCTTCACAGGAGTGGATTTCCTCTGACACTCAGTTTTGCCCTTACCATAGGCATGTCTCTCATCAGAGGCAATTTTATTTTGGCAATGTGCCGTGTCTTGCCCCAAGAGCCCAGCCACGGTGAGCTGTCGGTGCGCAGGAGCTGGCAGAGGCAAGCGTGCTTGAAAACCACAAGAAACACAAAAGCACTTCATGTCCAAGTGGAAAAGTGCTATAGAAGCCTCATAATAAACCAGTAACTTTCCATGTTATTTTATACTATACTGTAAATTTTTACAGCAAGCAATACTGGCTCTGCTGAAACGAGGAGGTGCTTTGCCCTCGACTGGAGTGGGATTTTGGCCACTCAAAAGAGTGTATTTCACAGAAAGTATATGTTTTCTGCTAAATTCTATAGGATTTTTCCTCTGTAAGACAGCTAAATTTGCTGTCCATAGAGTAATGTCAGAGAAGTGTAACGGTTACCCCGTGCCATGGGGCAAAACTTCCAACCACGTACAGCTGTATTTCTTGCCTCTTGTGCTAGAGAAGTGGGGTTTGAAGTCAGTCCATGATCTGGAGTTCATTATTTATCCAGTACACTATATGAAAATGTGCCCAGCTTTCAGATAAGCAATTCAGTCTTCTTTTCTAAAGAGGTAAGTGCCATGTGCAATGGTGCATACTGACTTTGCAGAATAATCTTTACATCATTTTGTGGGTTTTAGGGTGATAGGTATGATAAGCTTGCCATGCTTTCTGGGATTCACTGTGGGAAAGCCCGCTTCACTGAAATTAATGGGTATTATTCTATTCAAAATGAAGTCAGAATTTTCTAGCTTTGTACTGTAGTGCAAGCATCTGTCTAATACAATCGCTTTTCCCCGTGTTGTCTGAGCTTAGAGTTTCTTCATCCCTATCAAGATAAAAATTCAACAGCAGATTGGTCTCAGTCTAATACGTTTGCAGCATGACAAAGCAAACACATACTTAATGCACGCAGACCCTAACAAGCTATCTTCGGCTATAAGCGTGTCATGTCATTGCCACTTTGACCTGAACTGATTTCTGTCATTATGCCATTATCTCATCCAAGAACTGCTTTTATTATTCTGCCTATCAGACACATTCTCTGCTCTCACAAAAAGTGCATCATAAAAAACCTGATGAATTAAAAACATATGCCTCTGATAGCAGCTACTACTTGAAAGCCTCATAAGCTAA